GATTAACCTCTTGAATCATAATAAGAATCTTTCCCTTTGCTTGAAGGGCCATGTATAGAAGGGGCTCAAGTATAGGAAAATAAAATCCTCCGGACTATAAGTTTAGAGTAACCAAAGGACAGTTTTGTGCTAACCTTGTTGATGTAAGCATCAAAAACAGAAAACACTCCTTGATGAAGTATCCATCACATAAGTAGGAGAATGGCAGGAGCGACGGCTGCTGTTTTGGCTCCTGTGACTCAGTGAAGCTTCTCTCTACAATTTGTAATTCAGAAATGATATCCTTGGGGATTACCAGTTTGCAAATGTTTATTTAGGTGTGGTATACATACATTATTTATTTGCAAATAAATGATTTATTAAATATTTAAAAAAAAAAAAGTATTATAATTGATTATATCTTTACATTTTTTAGATTAATTTATTTTTGTTTTAGTGTATGGATGTTTTGCTTTTATGTATGTCTGCACCACATGTGTGCCTGGTACCTTCAGAGGCCAAAAGAAGAGGTTGGATCCCATGAATGAGTTAAAGATGGTTTTGAGTCACCATGTGGGTGCTGGGAATTGAACTCAGGTCCCCTAATAGAGCAGCCCGAGCTCTTAACTGCTGAGCCATCTCTCCAGTCCCTGTCTCTTCTTTTATATTTTATTTTATTTAGGGGGCCAGGAGAGATGGAGGGAGGATCATGGCACTTTTGTAGTTCCAGGACAACTTAAGGAAGTCAGTTGTCTTCTTCTAGCATGTGGGTCTCAGGGATAGAACTCAGGCTTTCAGGTTTGGCCCCAAGTGCCTTTATCCACTGAGCTATCTTGCCAGCCTGATTATTTCTTTGTAGTTAATAGAACAGGTGATTTTTAACAATTGCTTTTTTTTTCATTGCTATCTGTATTTTAAGATAACATAAGGAACTTTGACTGCATTTTATATAGTGAGTATAAAAGCTTGAAAATTAGTCGGGCGGTGGTGGCACACACCTTTAATCCCAGCACTCGGGAGGCAGAGCCAGGCGGATCCCTGTGAGTTCGAGGCTAGCCTGGGCTACCAAGTGAGTTCCAGGAAAGGCGCAAAGCTACACAGAGAAACCCTGTCTCGGGGAAAAAAAAAAAAAAAAAAGCTTGAAAATTAAGCATTCATTGCCTTCTGAATAATTTATTGAGATGTCAAAAAAGAGTAAACATCGAAAATATTTCTAAACGGATTTTTAATACTGTGGATGTGAAGAGCATTAAAACAAATATTCTTAGATTTCATTTAAAGAGGCATCTCAGAATTTAAAAATATGAGTGCTACAATGAACTTAGCTTGTGAAGAGTTTTATTTATGGGATAAGAATATAGTTTAGTTGGCGGAATACTTGCCTAGCCATGCACAGATCTCAGAGTTCAGTCAATAGCACAACATTGATGTGATGTCAAAGGCCTGTAATCTTGGCACTCAGCATGTCAAGGCAGGAGGATTTTCCTGTTCTTGTTTAAAATCTTATATAGTAAACAAGGGTTTCAGTGCTACAGTGGAATTGACTTATAGACTCAGCCATTGAGCTATATTTTTAAGATTTATTTTATTATTCTTAATTATGTGTATGTGTATATATGTGTGTGGTGGGGTATGTACATATGAATGCATGTGGTGGGGTATGTACACATGAATGCAGGTACCCACAGCTGACAGTTCCAGTCAGCTGTGAGCTGCCATGTGGGTTCTAGGTACAGAACCCAAGTCCTCTGCAGGAATGGCAAGTGCTCTTAACCACTGAGCCATCTCTCAAGCCCTATGTATTCTATTTTTAAAGTCATTTAAATTACAATCCTAACTTTTTTTGTGAGCCTGTTTTCATAAACTTTGTTTTAAAATTAAGATTCTGAGACCATCCGATTGCCTTATGAAGAAGGGGAATTGCTTGAATACTTAGATGCAGAAGAATTACCTCCTATTTTGGTTGATCTCCTTGAAAAATCACAGGTAAAGAGACAAGACAAAATATCTGTTTGAAAAAAATAACATGTATATAATAATGTGCCATCCCAGGTACTTAGAAGGCTTAAACACAAACATCTCAAGGAAGTTTGAGACCTGCCTGGGAACATAGCAAAACTCTATTTCTAAAACGTGTGTGTGTGAGTGTGAGATTTCACATGTACACACACAAAAATGAAATGTCCCCCCCCCCCCCGCTTCTTTGTGGCACTGGGTAGTGAACTCAAGGCCTCGTATATGTTAGGCTTCCAGCCTATAACTAAGCTACACCCAATCCCCAGAAAACTTGTTGTGTGTCGTGTGTGTGTGTGTGTGTGTGTGTGTGTGTGTGTGTGTGATACATTTTAGTGTGTACATATCCTTTGTGGTTTTGTTTTGTTTCTTTGAGACATGAGCTTATTTATAGCCCAGCAGGCTTAGTTAGAACTGGTGCTGTCCTTGCCTCAGCTCTTGAGTGCCGCAGTTGTAGACATGAGCTGCTGTTACATAACGGGTGTTAGTAGAGTGTTTAGAGCATAAAGTGAGACACTGCAGCAGTGCTGGGTAAAAATGGTTTATTGTGGCTTACTTGGTTGCTGCACTGCCGTGTGCTGATTGAGTGCTTCTAGAATTACTGTAATAAATTATCCTGGAAATTTCCCAAGGTTAAAATTAGGGAATTATGAAAGAATCTATTTTCACTGTTTATTAAGCTTACTTCCAGATCAGAAACAAGGTACTTTAAAGAGTGACCTGTAAGTGACTGCCTTGCCTTGCTCTTCTTACTGCCCTGCCCTGACTCCCATTCCTTGAATAGTGTTGCTTGAACCAGTTGACCAGCATTCCTGCATCCTTCTCCACACCTTTGCTTTGCTTTCCTCTTTAAGTGGATGAATCCCATTCCTAAGGCCTGATCCGCATTTCCCTTCTAGATGTTGCCCCTCTCGGGAGCTTACAACCATATGCCCCCACTAGATGCAGAATACAAACATTCTGTGTTCTCAACTTGAAAACCTCTTCTGACAGCACTGTTTTTTCAGCTGTTGATTTCGAGTTCTCCTTATCACTACAAAACCACTCGAAAACTTGTCTGTAATCGTCTTTATCACACTCTTTCTCCACTCACCTGTCAAGCATTGTAACAAGCATTTCTTAGATGATCTTGTCAAGTCACTGATCTCATGGCATGGCATTATTCATCACTTTTCTATCTGAATCCTGAACTATTCTATGAAGAGGTCAGTGTAGCCAGGCATAGTGGTACATGCCTTTCATTCCAGCACCGGAGAGAGTCAGTTTAAGGCCATCTTAAGCTTCATGTTGATTTGATAGCTAAGTAAACCCAAAAAGGATTAGAGAGAGAGCAGTTACACAGGTTTCATTGTTGGGATATTTATTAGATGGATGGAGATACTGCCAATAGCCAGATGTTTTACTGAATTGATTAAATGAGGGTTGCTTTCATTAATCCCAACTAGAAACAGCTAGTTGTTGTCCTTAGATAGCAAATTGTGTGATGTATATAAGGGTGGTAGCAGTTAGTATAATAGGAAGGTATAGGTATTGGTATACTGAGCTCCCAATTGTTAATGACAAAGTGATAAAAAGTACAGCTTTGGCCAAATGTAATACTTTAAATATTTATTGTTAAGACTGATTAATAGATCCTGAAACTTAAAAAAAAGCATGCACATAAGGAAGGAAGCTAAGTAGAATTCATAATTCCCAGACCAGCTATTAGTATTAGCCTGGTTGACTTAAGATAAAGACTGCTATGGTTTTTGTTTATAGATATAGTGATTATATTTATCAATTTGTATTTGAGCATAAATAACTGTAATGGTATAAAGCACCTGAACATACTGTGAGGGAATAGGCAAGTCGTAGCAAACTGAGTGCTAAGATTTCTTAAACTTGCAATACATAGTTGTGAATTGAATTCATGGTTAGCTCCTTCTCATTAATACAGTCTAAAACGACTAGATATCTTAGGAAAGCAAATATGGAAGTTATATCTAGAAGCTGAAATTCTGGCATAGTTGATTGATGTGTATTGCAGTGACAAACTGTATAACGATTATGATGCTAGCAAAGTGAAATAAGCCAGTGAGCCTCAGAAGAACCTCAGTCTCAAGGAACTGCTGTAACTTCCCTCATATGTGAATGCCAAAGTCATCCTGGATGCCAGGAGATGCAATGTCAAGTCTACTATTAACAGTTTGAAATTGCTTTTTATAATGATAACATAACAGTAAATAATCCTCTTTAGTAGTTTATGTAGTGGTGTCTCCACTGAAGATATCTATTGAAAGTATAGAGCTTAAAGATTGAAACATCCAGTTTAAGCTTACTTATTTTGGCTTTTGAAAAATGACATATACCTGAATTTTTTTTTACCTAATACAGGTTAATATTTTTCATTGTGGATGTGTGATAGCAGAAATACGTGACTATCGCCAGTCCAGTAATATGAAATCTCCTGGTTACCAGAGTAGGCACATTCTCTTACGTCCAACAATGCAGGTATGGAATTTTAGTTAGGAACTACTGTTTTTTGATTTAGTTGGATTTTTATTAAATGTTCATATATTTGTACGAACATACATGTTTTAAATTGTTTTCTTTCTTCTAGACTTTAGTCTGTGATGTTCATTCTATAACAAGTGACAACCATAAATGGACCCAGGTTAGTTTTCTCTCTAATCCCAGGTAGGCCACACACATTGTGAAGCATCAGTGAGAGGCTCCCTTTTACTCATGTTTGATTGGTTTGTTAGGTTGGATATTTGGGCAAAACCAAGATTCCTTTATGAGCCCTAGGATTTTAAAATCTCTACCTTTAGAAATCCCTCAAGGAACTAGTTATAATCCAGCCCAAATTGCTTCCAACCTTGTTGATAAACTAGAGTTAAGTTATGAAGCCTAATGTGAAAATTGGTTTTTTTTTGTTTTTGTTCTTGTTTTGTTTTTTGAGACTGAGGATCTCTATGTAACAGTCCTAGCTGTCCTAGAACTCCCTCTGTAGTCCAGACTGGCCTCGAACTCACAGAGCTCCTCCTGCCTCTGCCTCTCAAGTACTGGGATTAAAGGTGTGTACCA